AAACAGGCTGTTGGGCTGATGAACAGCCGAGGTCTGTCCTGTGTTACATCTCAGACACGTGAACATCACATTGTACCACACACCAGCAGTGGGTTGCTCACAGAGATGTTGGGGCTGAACGTGGGGCTCCCTCTCCCTGCTGACCTCTCCCCCTGCCTGGCACTAACAGGACTTCTGTGGCCACCAAAGCTGTGACACGCTGGGCGTGGCCGATATCGGCACCATGTGCGACCGCAACAAGAGCTGCTCGGTGATCGAGGACGAGGGCCTGCAGGCAGCCTACACCCTGGCTCACGAACTGGGTAACACATCCCTTCCCAAGGGGAAGTCTGCTTCTTCCGTCCTGCTGCTGGGAGGGGCTGTGGCACAGCCCAGCACCGGCATCTCCTGGCTGGGGATCACCCACTGAGCCTTGGGGAGCTCCTGGCACTGACAAATGCTGGTTTGCACCAGCAGAAACACTAAGAAGTGCCCAAATTGGTGCATTTGCACCAGCTCAGGAAGCATTTCTTCACTGGAAGTGTTGTCGAGCATTGCAAGGGGCTTCCCAGGGAGGGGGTGGAGTCTCCATCCCTGGAGTTGTTCAGGAAATGCCTGGACGTGGCACTCAGTGCTCTGGGCTGGGTGACAAGGTGGGGATCAGTCACAGGTTGGACTTGAGGATCTTGGAGGTCTTTTCCAATCCTAGCAATTCAATGATTTACCTGTTGTGATGAGCTCAGGCATGGGATCAAGCACATCTCTGCCTTGGTTTGCCATTCCTGCTCTGACTAATTTTTACCCAGAGAAGCTGTGGCTGCCCCATCCCTAGGAACATTTAGGGTCAGGTTGGACAGGGCATGGAGCAACCTGGTCTAGTGGAAGGTGTCCCTGTCCATGACAAGGGGTGGAACATGGCAAGGGGTGTCCATGACAAGGCCTTAATTCCTTCCATCCCAAACCATTCTGAGTTTCTAAAAATTTGGGCTGCTTTGCCCTTGCACACAGCAGGCTGTACCACTGAGATAGACCAAGCAGGTTTTTATTCCTTCTGATTTATGGAAGCAAACAGCTTTGGCAGACACAGGAGCTGCTTGATGCCTTACAGATGGTCCCCCACACCATCTGCTGAGGAGCAGGAGCTGAGCTGGGGAGCTCAGCTGTGCCATCCCCTCTGCTCCCAGGCCACGTGCTCAGCATGCCCCACGATGACTCCAAGAACTGCGAGCGGCTCTTCGGGCCCCTTGGCGAGCACCATGTGATGGCCCCGCTCTTCATCCACTTGAACAAGAGCCAGCCCTGGTCCCCTTGCAGTGCCATGTACCTCACCGAGTTCCTGGATGGAGGGCATGGTAAGTCTGTTGTATTTGTGGGGTTCCCAGAAGAAG